ATCCATTCCAACACAATCAGGAATGCCATCATGGGCGATAGTAGGCAGCTGTGTCTTACTCTTGTACTCACTTCAGGCGACTCATTGAGTTTTCCTTTGGGGAACACTTGACACGTGACGCTGTGGTATAGCTGCTGAATATGCTTGGTAACGATTTGGGGCACGTCATAGATTTGAAGTAGTTTCCGAACCGCCTCTCTGTAAATGCTGTCAAAAGCCCTCTTGAAGCCGATGAAGTCGGTATAGATATTTGACACCTGTTTAATGCTCTGTTCAATGATTATGCATACAGTATCAGTTCGACCTGAACATGGCCTGTCTTTCCTGAATTCAGTCCGTTCCGGCTGGCAGAGTTCGGCAACCAGCGCACCTTTTATTCTCTCCAGGATGACGCTACTTAATGTTTTATTTTACTTGGACAACACCATGATTTCGCGCCAGTTCTTGCAAGGGCTTAAGTAGCAATTCTTTGGTAGTTTGACAAGGTAGCCTTCCTTACAGTAAGTACCTGCCTTTCCATCCCTCCAATCGTTTTGCGAAAATGGCGTCAGCATGTACTCTGTGGTTTATGGATCAGTTTTTAGTGCCTCTGGAGGAATTCCGCCTGGTCCTGCTACCTTCTCGGATTGTATTGGAGATTTCTGTTTTTGTTGGATGATTAGTGGTTCCCCTGACTATCCTTTTCAGGTTTCACACGCGTTGATCTCTTCCCGGACAAAGACCTGGTTATCTGATGTGATGTTGTGAGGTCTGTTTTTCCTCCGTCATGTTCTGCTCCAGTTACTAGTGTGCTGTGGAAATTTCTTTTGTCTTTCCTAGTGCTCTGCTTCACATCTTTATTAAAGGTGATGTACGCTGAACGCAGCTTCCCCTTCTGTTGTTCATCTTCATGAAGGCTCGTGCTCTGTTCCATAATCGTCATCGCTCCTATTAGATTCCAGGTGTCCATAGGGGGGCCATTCTTTGTCATGCTTCTTCTTTCTTAATACAATGGTTTCATACTTCTCTTCGAACATTATCTCCAAAGTTTTCCATACAGGTTTCCTCAGTGATGCAACGTATTGTCTCTTGCTTTGCTCTAATGGCTGCAGTGATGGTCTAGGAAACCTGTTAGTTGCTCTACCTGAGAGGCTTCGAGTTCGTTCCCAATAGGCTTCAACGGGGTTTAGCTCTCACGACTGTCGTATGCCCATCTGTCTTGCTAGACCTGAGCTCTAACCACACTACCCGATGACTCTTTGGCCTATCCCACCTAACCTTGTAGCCAGGCTATTCATAACAGCACCCCGACTAGCGAAAACAGAATATAACTCACAGCTTCTCAAATGTGCATTTATTAGCGATGATAGAAATAAATTATAGCGATACACAGTGAAACGATATCGCCATCACTGAGTTCTTGTCAGCTGAAAACTAAATTGCCCATGTGTTTCAGTCCGCACGGATAAACAAATTAGTCATTGACGGTGGAACTGCTGAGGTTCAGTGAGCTTGACAGACTTCTTCGATCCTCTTCAGAGGCGTAATTTTTAGTTTCGTCTTGCAGATTTGGGTTTCGAACTTCAATTATGGTCTGTCTCCAGCTGTTTTCAGGGCCCTCAGCTTGACCTTGAATGGTCTAAGTCCACGTCGTCTCCGCTACTCTACTTTGTATCCAGCAGGGTGCGTCTCCACTTTCTTGAGCTTGTACGTGCTGCCTCCAATCACCAAATCTTGGATGGCACAGGAGCCTGCTAAGATTTCTCCACCAACATTCATTTCTTCGAAACCCTCTCGACGCACGATAAGTTCTCTTCTTGTATTGTCTTCTCCCAATAAGATTTTGATGCCGTCATTTGGGATGCTGTCCATTACTGTTTGTAGTTGTCTATGGAAATCTCCCTTCTCCTCTTGTTCAGAGTTGTTTGAAGGTGCGTAGCGTTGTGACCTTCCTTCCTTTTGAGTTGAGTCTTGCCCTCATTATCCGGTATCAGATTGGTTCCGATTGCGTAGTAGAGCTTTGGCTGTTGTTGATGACATCATGGTAGCCACTCACCATCTCAGTATGGTCGTGGTTGTCGTCTGGGTGACTGGAGCAGACTAGTGACTCTCCAGTTGACGGTTTGGATAGTCCGCATCAATTTACCCGCTTCCACAGATTCATAACACTTCCATGCCGTGTTTTCTCACTTCTTTTACTACTTTTGTAGCCTTCCCAGCTTCGTGCACTGTGTGAACATTGCACGTCCCCATTCCTATTTTCGATTTCATCGAGAGAAGACACATCGACTAACTGGCTTCCCAAAGGGTTTCAACAGCCCGAGTCATTTTGTCTCTCCGATTGTAGAGAAAAATAAGTTTGCTTTTGCTGTTTTTAAGTTTCTGTAGCAGTTTGATTGATTTTCCTGGGTAGGGTTGTTAGCTCAACGCGTAGGATGAACGTAAATTTTTTGTGCAACAAAGAGATGTACAGACAATCAGCTCGTGTTGTTATGGGGCCACCACTAGGGTCAATCTTGGCGAAACTACAGAATGGCCCTCTAAAGGACGAGATACATAATCTTGATTTCTGTTGCCATTACATTAATAGTTTTGAAGAAAGAAAGTGAGGTAAAGAACATGTTGGAGAAATTCAACAATGCGCATCCTGCCATACGTTTTGCCAAAGCAGAAGAGCAAAATGACTGTATCTTGTTTCTGGATGTCCTTGTGAACACACGAGCAGGCGGAACAATAAGTAGATGATTGCACCAGAAACCTACATCAACTGAGTAATATACTCACTTCTTGTGTTCTGTCCCTCAACAATGCAGACGTAATTTAGTTTACCGGGCTTGAGTTACTTTTTTCAAATGAAACACTGAACGAAGAACTCGGTAACATTCGTGATCTACTAAGTAGAAGCAGACAAAATTTTCGTGCAAGCTTATGGACTCAGCAAGTAAACAGCCCAGGATTCCCACAGTACCCCCCTCCAGAAGTCAGTGTTCCTAAGATAGCTACCTACGGGAGATTTTAATAGTGGGATTTTATCACGACTTCTGAGAAGGGCCTTCAAAAGGACTTTTAATGCAGTTAAGTTGTTTATTCATTAGCCAACTAATACTGAGTTGAAGATATAAAGACAAACTGCCCTGTTTCGCCTCCTCCGTGTGTATTTACCAGTTTAACTGCTCGTGAGGAGATAGTTACAGTGGACGTGCGACCAGGCAAGCTCATCATCGAGTTTCTGAATACCTCCCATCTTGGTTTGGCAAAGGTTCGAATAAAGCTGTACACAGCCCAACACTAGCTCATCTCATCGATACTGGACATCAAGTAAACTATAAAAAAGCTTTTACAGTTATTTATCGTATTTCACCTACCCTTTCACATGGTCTACGAGTACGAATTTCGCATACAGTAGAAGCAGTCGGAATACATCTGAACAAGTCATATCAGTGTATTCCAAAGAAATATGTGCAGCTCTTTTCTTTGCAATTAGTATCTACATAATATGTATTAAGTTTTTAAAAACGACTTTCTCTTCCCCTTGTAAAACTATCTTTTGATTATTTTTTGCAGTTCTAGCTAATTCTTTAATGACAGAAGACAAGGGCCAGGCAACAGATTGTTTACTGGGAAAATCAAGAAATATTTACAGATTTTCATGTACATTACTATTAGCAGAGAAACAGAGTCTTCTGATTGGTTGTTTTCTCGCTGAAGGTTATTCTATCATCTCTTTGTTGCCGTTTCTTAGACAGTCCGTTGATATATCTGCGAATCGTATCCGCCCACACAAAGTCTGCTGTGATTGGTTGTTGAGTTAGTCTTTGTTCTTTTTTTTCTCTCATAACTCTGATTTGGGACGAAAAAATTGCTGTCTACCAATTTTGGCTAGCAGACAGCTCTCACCGAAATTCTATTAACTTCTTTGTATTTTACATAATTCTTCTGAGTCATTCTGTTCTTCTTAGTAATCATTATTTTACGAATTTCTTGACTATGTAACAACTTGTTGGTAACCGCTACTAATTAAATGATCTTGAATTCCGTAATTAATTTTCATTACTCCTTCAAAACTTATATGTCTTATTACTAACATCTGTTAGTTAACTGTTTTGATAACTTTTAACCTCTTCATCCCCCCCGCATATACCTAAAACTGATTAACTAAAATAACCACATGGTTGATTAAATTATGATATAAAAATCCATATATTAGCGTGGGGCCGATGATAAGGAAATTACTCAAAAGGAATGTATATTTTTTTCGCTTAATCTGTTGTTTTTGTCTAAAACTAAGACTAATTTAGAATTTCTTACACAGTTCCCTCCTCAAGCAAATGCACTGACATAGTGTAGTCAAAAGTGAATATACACAACTGAAATCTTTTTTGATGTGGTTGTGTTCTCTTAGCTGGATAGTTAATTTGCGAAGCTTTCATCGCTCCGCAACTAGGCGACATCTTTAGCGCATACTTCAATTTGTTGAAGTGAGCTTTTAGATTTCTCCACGAGTTTATTAATCATCTCTCCCAGTGACTTTGGACGTGATTGGTTGTTTTTGTGTGTTTTCACACCTTCTAAGCCACTTGTATTGGAACTGATTGTGTGCGATAAGAAAGAGACCTCAGACACAAAGGGTCAAAGTTCAAGTCAAAGAAACAATCAGTTCCAATACAAGTGGCCTAGAACGTGTGAAAACACACATAAACAACCAATCACGTCCTAGGTCACCGGGAGAGATGATTAATAAACTCGTGGAGAAATCTAAAAGCTCACTTCAACAAATTGAAGTATGCGCTGAAGATGTCGCCTAGTAGGGCTATGAAAGCTTCGCAAATTAACTATCCAGCTCAGAGAACACAACCACATCAAAATCATCCATATGAGCTACAAATTTTCTTTATCATATCTACAACCGAAATCGCCAAACTTAGACATCCAACCATGGGAAACTGAAACGCCTATCCTGCACGCATAATTCTACGGCTATAAACAAGGCACTCCATGAAGAAAGAAGCACACACACGAGTATCCTAATAATAGAAAGGCTAATATATTATAATGATGAAAATTTCACCAGGATCAAAAAAAGAGAGGAAAAGTAACACTTCAGTTCGACTGAAACATACTCGCACACATAAAATATACAACCATATGTTCTAAAATGTAACAATATAACAACATATTAATAAGGTGTTGTAACTGAAGGGTAGTAGTAATAATAATAATAATAACAAATGTAGTGAGTAAAGGGTATTTTTCCTAAAAAAAAGAAGAAGGAAAGATAAAAGCATAAGTGCTTTTTATTCGGGAATAAAATAGAAGGAAATACAAAACTAACTGGACTGATGATTTGATGAAAAACTCCATAGCAAAACAAAAAGAGATTTCATCGACGGCGCAAATAGATCCAAAGAGCAACAGCTATGACAACAAAACCAGTACTTGTTAGAACTAAGGGGACAAGGAAGGATGGATCGTTGAATAGCATAGAATGTTGTTCATTTACAGAGTCATGAGGCTGTTGTTGATTCTCATAACGCGAAATAACATCTACTGAATTCGAATGATTCACACTATCTACTACAACAGTATCATCGTCACCATCGTTGTCATATGCTCTGCCACGGCGTAGGAATTGAAGAATACGCTAGAGCAGAAGAAGAAAACAGTGAAAATAATATGATGCATAATAATACTAAGGTGCAGTAGATAAGTGAAAGACTACAACACGAACGAGACTACACATAATCTGAACTTAAAATGTCCAAAAGCAGTTAACTGTCTTACTTACCGCAGAAGTTGATTACGTTATGTGTTGTGATGTGATACCTCTAGTAACTACCTGTGAATGTCACTTGACTTTTTCACAGAAAAACCTTATTGCAAAACCGAGGAGCACTGAACAACTGTCTCGTCCTACCCTAGGGCTTCTCAGCAGTGAGCATTCACCAGAGTTTAAACCCAAGGCGTTCTGGTTACAAGGTAAGTTCGCACAACCTCGTGGCTGCATAGTGCTGAAGGGTCCCAAACTAGGACGAAACAGTCATACCGCTACTCCGTGCTGGTTTTCCAATAATAGTTCTCTAACTGAGATGTCAGCTGGTGCTCAAGCTTGGAACCAATCGAATCCCTGTGAACCAACATTTGAAAAAAATTATCTGATGCTCACTAGAGATTGGCTCTAAACAGAAATTTACCTGGAGTTCTAGTGAGATGAGTTTTGACCACCAGAGGGCTCCACCAAGTCAGGTAAGATAACAGTTACTCACTCGCGCCTATAACACCGCTTGGTGATTGCACTAGAGATCACGAATTGGTAGAAGTTGAAATTCAATCAAGCATGAATCAGATCCCAGTGGCTGAATGGACCTACCAGCTCGCCTTTTAACCGAAGGACATTGGGTTCGAACCCCAGGGACGAAACAGCTGTCCCAGTACTCCCCCTACTGGTTCCCCAATAATGTTTTTCAAACTGATATCAGTTCCTGATCAGGCCTGAAATTAATCGAGTCCTTGAGAATTTAAAAATTGAAAATAATCTTATATTCAATAAAGTGAAAAACAAACGAGTAGTAATATGTGACATTTCACTGTGGCTATACACCAACAGACAGTGAATTTGTCTGAATTCTAGTTCACTCCAAAATCCAATATGCTTTCATGTCATCTCTTCTTGAAAAAAATGAGAATTGATGAAGACCAATAATAAGCAGTAGCACTATCATTAAAAAATCTAACAGCCACATGTGTAACTCATCCTACCCCGCCCTGCCCGCCCACCTCCGCACCTCATAACATACTGAAGATATTCGCAAAACCCTACATATACATAAAATATCAGAGATATGAATAGACATGTATATTTTGCATTCATTCAGCTTTCCTCTTGTAAAAAGTAAAAATTGATTCACTACAGATGTCAGTCACGTGTGAATCAATGAGTGAGTGGGTGAATGTGAGCGTACAATTTTACTGCGTTTAAATGTGAAAACTTTAATCAATACGATATTACTACGATGGTGGCGTTGTAATCCACAGTAATGTTACTCTACGCCACACACACACACACACACACACACACAAACTAACAGTGAGTTAAAAGTCAGGAAAAAATGTTTAATTTTTTTGGAAAGAATCTCAATGATGTTGTGATTGTCAGACACACATTTCTAAAGATATCGATGCTTCTTTAAGTTGGTGATAATCATAATATACGACATAAGTTAACTATAAAAGCATGAGTGAATTATGACATGAGATCATTTAAAAAAAACTGCAGTTCGCTTTGGAATTAACTAGAGAACAGGGGAAATCAATCGACGAGGCTGTGAAATTACAACGACTAAGATGGTTAGGAAATGTGTTACGTATGCCTAGTCATCGCCTTCCTCGACAATGGGCAATGTTAGGTGATATAGGGTCACGATGGAAAAGAGCTAGTGGCAGTCAAACCCAAACATGGCACCAGTCAATGAAATCTGCAACAGTTAGTCTATGCCACGTAGGAAGGTAAAAAGGAAGGACGGTAAAAACCAATGGTTGGAAACAATTGGTGATATGGCTCAAAATCGTTCTCAGTGACTGGCGCATATGCATCCACTCCTTGTGACTTGTGATTTCCGATGAAACTGTTTTGTTCTTCGTTATTACTATTCCTTTGTCTCACACTCCTGTTTACTGTCTCTAATATGCATTTCTCCTACTTTCTTCTGTTGCTTTGTGTGCTACATGGAGTGTGGCGACTTGAACTGCCACACATATTTGCAAAGTTCTATGTCGAAAACAGACAGACAAACAGAGCGCACAGAAAGCCCCGTAACGCCATTAGGAAGAGAAAACAGCCTCCATAAAGATAATGTTCAAGGGAATATATTCGTTACCTTTAAAAACCAACATCATCATCATGATCATCAGAGATGTCGCTTTCAACATTGAGCCATGTTTGATATTTTCTGTATCTAGCAACTTGTGTCTTATATATATATACCAATGGACAACTGGGGAACCACCACTTTACACTAGTATTGTAACGACAGAAGACAAGGGCCAGGCGACAGACAGATCGTTTATGAGAAAATCAAGAGATATTTATAGATTTTCATGTACATTATAATTAGCGTTATTGTTAGCAGAGAAGCAACGTCTTCTGATTGGTTGTTTTTTTGCTGAAAGTTATTCTGCTGTACTGCTTGTGACCGTTTCTTAGAAAGTTAGGCCATATATCTGCGAATCGTATTTGTACACGTTAAGTCTGCTGTGATTGGTTGGTGAGTAGTTCCTCAAGGTTAAGCTTTGTTATTGTTGTTTTTTTCCCATGACCCCGATTCGGGACGTAAACATTGACGTAAATTGTTGTCCACAATTTTCGGCTTGCAGACAACTCTTACCACAGTATTAACAACTATTGTGGTGAGACATGGCTGCTAGCCAAAATTAATAGACAGTAATTTACGTCAATGTTTACGTCCCAAATTATTGGTCGTGAGAAAAATAAGAACAAAGACTGACTCAACAACCAATCACAACAGACTTTGCGTAGGCGGATACAATTTGCAGATAGATTATCTGAACTTCAATAAACGGCCACAAAGAGATGAAAGATTAAAGTTCAGCGAGAAATCACCAATCAGAAGACTGTGTGTGTTTGCTTACAATAATGTATAATAATGTACATGAAAAGTTATAAATATGAGTTGATTTCGTAAATAAACGATCTGTTGTCTGGCCCTTGTCTTCTGTGGTTACAGTATGATTGTGAAAACTCATCACTTTTGTCACTACCCTCTTACATGAATAGAATTGTAAACAAACGCGACTATACAGCTGAAGGAAGAAGACAATGAACCCGCCGAAAAGAGGCTCTTCGCTGAACCACGTGTTTTTTTTACACTCAATAATGCATACAAATAATACAAACAACAGAAAGAGAGTTAATGAAACAAAAATCTTGTCAACTTACCCATCCACCTTGTTGTGCAATCCAAACAAATATGTTAATTTGTCGACAGAAATTAATTAGACATCGACATACTTGATAAAAGGCATTAGCAATACCATTTTTAACTCGTTGTACAACTAAACGGTAACCAAAGTAGAACAATGTAATCACTTGTCCCCAATTTGTTGGACCACGGGTAAATAATCTTTTTTTTTAAAGAAAAAAGAGTAAATTATTTAATAATTTTAATAAGCAAAGAAATTCACAAAAAACAAAAACAGAAAAGAAAGAAAGAAACGACTGAGCAAAGTCTGAAACGATTTATTGTTAAAAATAAAGTTACATCAACGCTTTTACAACGCTGTTATAAGCACATATATGCCTAAACATGTACACATAACAACATAGTGCACAATATTCTAACTAAAGGTAAATTTTGTTTTGATAAAGTCTCACAGTGTTTGTTGTACAGTAATGTTTACTGATGGCGTTTCGAGCACAATTTATTGCTCATAATCATATCAAGGTAATCACACGACTTCCTAAATTCATTTATATAGTTCCGTTGTTTTTCCCTTGGTTTTCACTTGATTTGATTGGTAGTAATATTTTGCATATTTCGGGTATGAGTGATGAATCATTCCTATTGCATGTGTTGGGTGTAGATTCGATGAACAAGGATTCAGTAATCAACCTCTCTCGCTCTCCACCTACCTAGATTACTTTTTAGAGTTTTAACCCTCTCCCACCCTATTGTGTGGTTGTTTGTTAATGCATGCAGCACAATTGCTGAGCTTTTTTCTAAATTACTTATCTTCTCGGGGTCAACTATTCTTCCCCTAGCTAAATTCTTATGTTCTGACAATCTGACTACCCCTGATCTACTAGTTTGACCTATGTAGTTGACCTCACAGTCATTGCAGGGTATTTTGTAAATTATATTATTTTGTCTAATTGGGTCCACTGGGTCCTTTAACCTACAGAGCTTGTCGCCGAGTGAGTTTGTAGGCTTAAATGCTACCCTAATTCCTGCTTTATTTAGAATCCCACGTAGGGTCTCAGATATCCCCTCTTTATATGGTATAACTGTAGATGACTTATATTCTCTCTTATTTATGTTATTATTACTAGTTTCACAATTCTTTTTATTTTTCTTTTGGCGTTTTCAATCTTCCTAATGAATTTTAGAGGATAGTTATTTAAAACCAACGCCTCTTCTTTCTGTTTTATTTCGTCATTTAGGTCTTTTTTGTGCTACTTAGTGCCATTACTCGGTTTGTTAAACACTTAACTAAGCCTGCCTTAACAGTTAAAGGAGAGGTTGATTACTGAATCCTTGTTCATCGAATCTACACCCAACACGTGCAATAGGAATGATTCATCACTCATACCCGAAATATGCAAAATATTACTACCAATCAAATCAAGTGAAAACCAAGGGAAAAACAACGGAATTATATAAATGAATTTAGGAATAATATATTATAATTTATTTATTCCACAACAATAACAATTTACAGCAAGTCGTGTGATTACCTTGATATGATTATGAGCAATAAATTGTGCTCGAAACGCCATCAGTAAACATTACTGTACAACAAACACTGTGAGACTTTATCAAAACAAAATCTACCCATAATGGAATTACACTCTACCACAGTGCACAAGTTTTATTCTTATATCAATTCTAACTTAGGGTTGAAATGAGTACCAAGTATCGATTTTGCAGGAATTCGATTAGTTTCAGGTTTGAACATCAGTTTGAGAACCATCAAGAAACCAGTAGGGAGTACTTGACAGCCGTCTCGTCCTAGTTCGGGACACTTCATCGTTACGCATCCATCGGTTACACTCTGCGGTTACAAGGCGAGCTTGTAGACCCCATTCAACTGCTAAGACTTCATCCAACGGTCTATGAATTCCAACCTCTGCCAATTTGCGATATATAGAGTGCGATTACCAGCCGGTCTCATCGACAAATAATTGTTGTCTTACTCCACTTGGTGGACGCGCCACTGTTCACGACTTCTCACCACAGAGCTCCACGTAACTCCCTGTGTAAAGCCAGTCACTAGTGAGCATCCAATCAATTGTTGGTTTGCAGGGACCAGCGGGGTCGACCAAGTCAGGTAAGAGAACAGTTACTGGCACTAATGACACTGGCTGATAGTTGCGCCATATATATATGTATATATATCGGGAACTGACAAAAGTTGGGATTCATGAGTCATTGAATTAGGTCTCAGTGGCTGAGTGGTTTACGAGCTCGTCTTGTAACTGGAACGTCCTTGATTCGAACTCCGGTGGGTGGGTGAGAAACGCTTAAGAGTTCCTAACTAGAACGAAACAGCTGTCCAGTACTCCCTGTTGCTTTTCCAATAGCTCTCTAACTGATGTTATCCCAGGATCAAACTTGGAATTAGAATCACCATTAAGTTAGCACAATCTTTTAACAAGTTGGTCGGTGGTCAGTGAAAGTGGTGTTACTTCAGGAGTCAATACATTCTCAGCATAAAATAGTAATAACCCACTCAACTGAAATCATCCAGAAAAATTTATAAAATCCCAAAGAGCGTTTCATAGCAGAAACACCGTGCATAGATTAAAGTACAAATTATCTGAATTAGAATGACGGGCTAAGAGATAATTTGACCTGGACTTAACAGTCCACCCCCACCCACAAACCAACATAGTCACTATGTGAACAACAAATGAAAATTGTCGACTTGCTTACACACTCAAAAATCGCTAGTGTTAAATCATCCGAGGCTACTCCGGTTGTAAATAGCCTCTTCAGCAGATGGAATCCCTAATAAGACTGCGGAATCCAGGTATGATCCTGAAACCAATGTTACATCTGATACTTGGTTGAGATAATACGAAGACAATTTCAGAATAGATTTTGCTAGTCAAGTTGATTCTTGGAAAGTGTGTCTCCTACTTCAAAAATTGGACCCATCTCAACTTCACCAATACCGCAACATAGTTCTGCTTAAAATCCACGCGATCGTACCTTTGATGCCACACTGGAGAAAACGATTCCGTGATCACTCATTCCTCTTTAATAAGTAAATCATGAGCGAAAACGTTGGTATCATCAACCGTGAATGTGAGAGAAATCTTTGACAAACGATCAGTTTAAATCACTGTTAATCATCATCAGCAGCAACCTACAGTCACCCAAGTTTCCTGAATCTTTTGGAACGAAATCCGACGGTTAAAACACACTTAATGACATATCTGGTGAGTATCAACAACTGACAAACCTACAGCATGATATAAATTCAATTCACTTCGGATGCCAGGGTGGTCATGAATTAAATGTAGTTTCGCCAGAAATCACAAACCTTCAATTACATTCTTGTCAGACCACCTCCCTAATCCCACTTTGACAGTTCATTGTCCCAGTTAGTTACCCACGCGATACCAGCCGGCGCTTAAAGAAGACACCTCTATCATCCTATTGGGCATTTCATCAAATCGTGCCCGTTTAATCAGTACCGATGTTAACACTGTTAGACATAAAGATGGCTTTTGACAGCGACAAAACCTATTTGTTATCTTTACTAATGCACTTACATTCATGTGATAATGAAAAATTACGCTATACACGAGCCCTATGCTCGAGTTGTCGTATGTAAGCTGAGATTTCGCACATTCTGCCTCACTATTACTCTTTGGTAAGGCTTTAAGCACTGAAATATGAGTAAAAAAACAACAACATCGTTTTGTTTTTCATTCATTTTTCTGTAATAACGAGCCATGTCAGCTGTCTGTTTAAGTATACTTTTTTATCTGAGATACCTGCTACACCTAAGAGATTAGGAGGGGGGGCTAATCAGGGCTAACAAAGACACCCAATAAAAGTTGGCTATCATTCACAGTCTAATGAATTCTGTAATAATAAATAAGTAGACGAAATTTATTATCACTGCAAAAAGAGGGAGGTAACTTTTCCTTTATAGCAAATCTGCAGATTAGAACAACACGATACACAAATCACCAGTTTCTTTCCACCAAATTTAATTTACATGTTATGGCGAATGACACAGCTATTGTGGTTAGACTAAGAATCAGTTGATCACTTTCAAAAAACAATCGAATTGACCACTATCTCTACACAACTCGGCCAGAAATACCATACATACAAAACTACCAGTGAACAATGACTCTCCGATAAAACCGAAGTACTGAAAGCCAAAAAAAGTTACAGATACCCAGGGGGAAAACAGTAGGACCAAATGCAATCCCCCACCCCATCCTGGAACTACTGAAAACGGACCTAGAGACCTCGTAGGAAATACTCACCCCACTATTTCACAAAGTGTGGAAGGAAGAAAAGGGACCCGTCAATTTTTTGAGGGTGGATGTTTAATGTCACAAACTCGAAGAATTTCAGGTGAAAACCAACAAAGTGGTTTAAGATGCAGGCAGGTGAACATAGAGAAGACGGAGATGACCACACCCGAACAGTAACAACAACCAGCACCAATCATCATCAACGGGAGAGTATTGACTGAGGTTACTTCCTTCACTTATCCGGGTAGGAAGTGCGGTTTCAACCGCATGTGGACAGCATGGATGAAGATGTCAAAGTCAGCCACAGAGAATCGGAAAGGCAAAATACGCCTTCATCAACCTGAAACCAGTTTGGAAATCTTCTGCACTCAACGTAAGGAACAGAATTCAGATTTTCAACACAAATGTGAAGTCAGTTCTCCTATATACAGGTCGGAAACTTGGCCAGCGTGTCACAAAAAAGATTTTTAACAAGTTACAGATCCTTATCAACAACTTCCCCCTTTGCTGGCTCCATACTGACGATCAAATGACCAACCGGAAAGAATTAGCAACAAGAAACTCTGGAGACAAACCAAACAAGGAACTATCGTTCAACAAATAAGTAAGCGAAAATGGAGGTGGATGGGGCATGTATTGAGGAGGCCATCGAATGACACTGTGTGCAAGGCTGTCCCTCGAGTTGAACCCCAATGGGAACCAACGGATGGGTAGTCGCTGGGAGCGTGATATGGAGGAGATCATTTAGGGAGGAAGTGACGAGGGATTATGAGCTATCGTGACCCCAGTCAGCTGAAGAGGACAGCAGAAAGTAGAACAAAGTGGAGATGTGTTGTTGAAGCTCTATGTTCCACTCGGAACCCAAGAGAGGCAGCATGGTTTTAACTACTGGCCGCACAGATAACGATATCAAAACCAGCTAGTATCTGATCGCGAAAGCATGACAGATGTTCACTACTCTGAAACTGATGTGGGGGATCTACAATACTACTCAGCATACGAAACGATTTTAAAATTTCCAAACACTAATTTCAAATCAGTGTGTGTCACCAAAAGCATTCCCAACTTTTATCATTAGCTGTCTACGATCGAGACTGAAGATCAGACGACTGGCTGACTGGTTATAAAGGATACGCAAAACAAACAAAGGACCCTAACAACGAACCAGCGAAGAATTTATTGCCTAACAAATATGAAGAACGATATCGAGATAGGATTGGGTATACACACTGAGAAGACTTTCATGAGGTGACATTATAATGCAAAGTCTATGTGAGTGGGGAACAACGAGTTGAGCTGCGGTTCGCAGGTGACATGGAGTAGATTGTGTGTGTGTGTGTGTGTGTGAGGAGGGAATGACAACCTATGGGAAAGTTGTGGAGTCAGCTAGAGACGACTGCAGAGAGAACAGAACGAAAAGGAGATGTGCTGCTGCTGCTTAGAACAAATAAAAAAACCACTTCATAAAAAAACGCAATGGTACCACCACCAACACCACCGTGAATGATACGACAATGAAATCAGCGGTGTGTCGCACAGCGGTTATGACTCTCGCCGACCATGCACATGGTCCAGGGTTCGATTCCCTGCCGACTCACGCCTGACATCTATGGTCGGCCTGCAAAATTTGGGCTACCGATATCACATGCTGAAAATTCCATACTTGTACTGAAAATACGGTGTGGCATCAAGCTGTAATCAAAATAAAAATAACAATAAAATGACACGTTATTCACAGGCAAAAATGAGAGATGCTTAGCACTTACACTCGAGCAACATTATAAAACATTTCCAGTGGGCACTCTTCAACTGGCAACAATTTAATCATTCTATCCAATCTCGGCCCATAGACACGATTAATTTCATCACCAATTTCGGCTAAATTACGAGCGACTATCGCTTCAACACTGAAAACACACAAAAAAAAACAGTAGTTGATTAAAATGTACAACAATAAATCAATAAATAACGAAGAAATATTTTCTCTCTTTAACAAAAAAGAAAAGATGTTAGTAATGAATAAGCTCACTAGAATACTGAAATTACGACAATAAACAAACTAGAGTAGACATATATTTTTATGCCACATCATAATGTCTGAATTACAAAATAAAATGTTGAATTAGATAATATTTCTAACAATTAGTTTATATAGAGAGAAAGTTTCAATTTTGATCAGGTTAGAGAACCATTGAAAACTAGTAGGTGGAGTAATGGACAGCCAACTGCCTCGTCCTAATCTGGGACTCTTCGGCAGTACACACCCACTCCAGCAGGGGTCGAACCCAAGAACTTCCGATTACAAAGAAAGCTCGTATAGTATTCACAGCCACTGATATCTGACACAATGGTTCATGAAGTAAGACTTCTACCTATTCCTGATTTTAGTGCGCCAACCAGCCAGCCAATGTTATCGGTGGCGAGTATTCTATCCTAGCACCAGACCTCGTGGACCCCATTGGTCACGACTTCTCACTAGAAGTCAAGACAACTTCGTCCTGCAGCCGCCCAACGAGTGGTATCTATCAGTTAGAGAACCATAGGAAACCATTGATTCGGGTCCCAGTGACTGCTACCATGGTCTACGAGCTTGCATTGTAATCTGAAGGTCCTCATCAGTTCCAATGCCGGTTGGTGCGCACTGCCTATGAGTCGCGATTTAGGACAAAATAGCTATCCTGTATACTCTACATGGTTTTCAATAGTTCTCTATCTGATATCAAATGTGACATAATATTTTCAACTTTTGGTTTAATCGATTGCCAGTTTGAACCATGCAGTGATAACAATCAGACAAGCACTGAAAACTAGAGGGCATTAGATAGCTACTTTGTCCTAGTTTGAGAATATTCGGCACTACACACTTCCATGAACCCACAGGGTGACTTATGCTGGCTCAAGTTAGAATTCATGGGCCACTCGATTCCAGTCCAATGATTGAATAGTCGACGGACTCGCCTCGTAACCTGAAATTCCTGGGCTTGGTCTCCGGTGGGGGTCATATTTGCATATTTTTGAAGAGTTCCAACCTAGGACATAATAGCTGTCCAGCACTTCATGTTTTCTCAACAGTTCTCTAAATGATGATGTCAACACTTTACTTTAAAAATGCAACATTTTATTCGTTCTAGCATATGACATCGGAATAATTGTACCCTAGTATGTGAGTCTCTAGTTAATGTGGTGTGTGTATGTGACACAGTAGTAAAACATACATTCTCAGCTTTGTTGCACTCGAAAACTCAGCACCAGCATTTTATTGAAGAGAGCGGTTTAAATCTCACTAGATCCAGATCTCAGAACCACAATTGATATGTAAAGATCTAAACGACTAAACTAACCCCGGACATGCTCTATTTGAAATGAGCGAAGTAACACTCGGTATAATTATCCCCTCTATATAGAAGCCATATCAATTGAAATTGGTTGCAATATATTTTACATGTCCAGAGTCTATATTAGAGCGAAAAAGTATATACTACTGTGGCGTATACTACTAACAAGATTCATCAGTAGTATACGAACAAACTTTCATCGCCGCACAAAAATATCAAATAGCGGAGAGATAGATTTGGCGTAAAGAAGAGGAAATATGAACCAGTAGTGCGGTAAAACATGAGAAACACAATACGAAGGAAGGGCAGAAGTAGTCCAGCACTGATGATCTGTGCAGCAAATGACGACTTGAATATATGTGGTATGTGCGAATTTCCCCACATTTGTATATGAAACTGCATGTAAAAATTCCATTGCCAAGTCTTTTATTTTCTCCCGTTACACTATCACAATTAAACTGAAATGAGTAGTTGCAAAACCACTCAAGTCAAACAGTAGCAGTGTCTATTAGACAGATCAAAGTAATCTAAATACTGGACAGTTGTTCCGCTAGCGCCTGAGTTCGAGCTCATCAGTAATGAAACGCGATGTTAACTCACTCAAACAACTCACTTGCAATCCCATACAGCTGGCAATGTATCACGCCTATTATGTGGAAGCCAGTGATGGTACCAGGCTACCCAAACCTAGGTAAGTGGGGCGGGGTTTGAAGTCATGACCGATTTGGTTAGAAGTCCAGCGTCTAGGCGAATGAGCCACAGCTCACCACTATAATGCTAGCTTTCCTGGTTCTCATATATATATATATATATATATATATATAATATTTTCCATACACACTTTTTTTTTTAAATTCTAGTTACTTTCAACATTTCAATTGAATTTTAGATTTTCCTATTGATTGATCGGCCCGAAGTGCTCGGTCTCAGGTTGACATGTCTGTTAGGTTCTTGTGCAGATGCTTCGACAATGTCTGGGCATTTAGTTCGAATTTAACTGGTGGATGGTGACTAGCAGTGGAATCCAGGATTAGGCGCATTTCGTCCTATTTGGGACTCGGCATCTGGATGTACCTGCCTCGGTGGGAACATCATCACTCACTGGGCCACGTCCATATGACGAGTCCCAAATAGGACGAAATGCGCTTTGTCCTGGATTATTCCACTGCTAGTCACCATCCACCAATTAAATTCGAATTTCAACATTTAATTATATTTCTTCTGTCTTTCGCTTTTTAGTGGATTTAATTTAGAAAATGTAAATATGACGCTCACACGAAAAACTTGGAAGATCTGGACTTCGCCGTTGATATATGTCTGATTACCCACAAACTGGAAGATATGCAAGTGAAAAGCAACAAGTTGGTAGAAGAAGCATCAAAGGTGAACATAGAGAAAATAGAGGTGATCAAGATTCCTGGGCAACACCACCAACAGACAACAATCAGCATAAATGGAACGAACCTGAAAGAAATAACCTCCTGTACCTACCTGGGAAGCATCGTTTCAACCACAGGCGGAGAGCATCGACGAGGATATCAAAGCAAGAATCGGAAAAGCAAGACCAGTTTTCACTACTCTCAAGCCTGTGTGGAGGTCAACAGCACTCAGCATAAAAATGAAAATAAGATCCGGATTCTCCACTCCCATGTGAAGTCAGTGGATCAGAGACTTGGCCAGCGCGTCATAAAGAGCATCTCAAACAAACTACAGACCTTCATTAACAGTTGTCTTCGCTCAATACTCAAGATCAGATGGCCAGCCAGAAAAGATTAGCGACATAGATCTCTGGGACCGAACCAACCAGGAACCAATTGTGAAACAAATAGGCAAGAAGAAATGGAGTTGGATTAGCCATACTCTTAAGAAACCATCAAGTGACATCACTAGACAAGCCATTGCTCGTGTGGAACCCGAAAGGGAAGCGGCGAGTTGATCGTCAGTACAAGGGTGACTTGGAGGAGGTCATGTGAAGAGGAGATGAAAGCGTGTGGGCAGACTTGGAGCAAGGTGAAAACTCTAGCAGAGAACTGAACGTAATGGAGACGCACGGCTGAAGCCCTATGTTCCTCTAGGAATTAAAGGAAACAATAATAATAAATACGACGCTGTTCAAGTGTTAAGTAAGGCCATGTGACATTTATTTATTTCAATTTGGACTTCCCCATAGAAGCAACCACACAAGGAGATGATGTATCCACAGAGGACCAGCACTTTGATCCAACCAATCAACAGGAAAGTTCAAATTGAAATAAATAATAACTGACAGTCGTTTCACAAGAGGTGGCTCTCGTGGCCCAAGTGGTCTAGTGGATAACGCTTTGGCGTTTGAAATATTGGGCACTGGGTATTCGAGCTCCAATGGGAACACACTATCACTGACTCATTGCAGAATGCGTGTACATCTAGAGTCCAAAATAAGAGGGAAGTGTGCAACCTGGCTGGATTACACTGCTAGTCACCATCCTTCGAATTGTTTGATATTTAGTTTAACCAAAACATGCATAACTCACAACATATTTAAAGGCGGGGCGCGGGGGGGAAGGTAACTTACCTATTTGGTTCAGCACGTGGTAACGATTGAAACTGATGACTTACAGGGTCATCAGGCTGCGTGGTATCTGTAATAGAAATTGAAGCCGAAGCTTTTGCTGAAAGTGAATTATTGAATTTCGACGATGTTGATGCTGATGATGATGCTTGTGCTGATGCAGACACTTCTAGCATATATCTATCAAGCATAAAGTTACTAAAAACAAGTTCTGATGAAGCGTCCACTTCCTCGGGGGTACTTGGAGTTAACTCAGAGACAACCTACAAAACAAGTGAATGGAAGACAATGCCAAATAACTGAGTTACTGTAGAAAAAAAGATACGTTAACAAGACGATCAACACATCTGCACATAAGCTTCTGCCTGTCTCTCTGTTTTCAAAACGGAACTTTGCACCGATGTGCAGCAGTTCAAGTCGCTACACTCTCTCTTTGTAGCACACAAAGCAAGAGAAGAAAGTAGAAGAAATGCAAAATAGAGACAGTAAACAGGGATATGAGACAAAAAGAATAGTAATAACGAAGAACAATAGAATTTCATTGGATATTATAAGTTACAAGGAGTGGATGCATCTGCACCAGCGCCACTGAGAACGATTTTGAGCCATATCACCGATTGTCTTCAGTTATTGGTTTTGACCGTCCCGAGGACCCCAACCACGAAGTCTACACCTTCCTACGTAGCTTAAACTGTTGTAGATTTCACTGACTGGTGACATGTTTTGGTTTGACCGCCGCTAGCTCTTTTTCAGCCTGACCCTATGTCAGCTAACATTGCATATTGTCGAGGAAGGAGATGGGCTAGGCATATGTAACACATGTCCTAACCATCTCAGTCGATGTAGCTTCACAGCCTCGTCGATTGATTTCCCCTTCTTACCTAGCACTCGACGCCTAACCTTAGTATTGCGCTTACCCTACTATACCACTTCACACGGGAGATAGAACGGCAGAGAAGCTTAAACAAATTATTCCTAAATAGAAGGATTAGGAATGCCACACACACACCAGATTAGTCTTCATGTAAAGTGAATTCCCTTGTTTGACAAAAAAAGACAACCATATAAAGACACGTTCATGAACTGTTGTATGAGAGTAAGTGATAGCATCTAATTGCGTCGGTGGTGGTGCAGCGGTAGAATGCTCGCCAAACACACATGAGGTCCATGGTTCGATATCTGGCCGACGCACTCCTAAACCTTGTTTAGGTAGTAGTAAGCTACGTAAATAGGCAAAGTTGGGCGTGAGGCTGGCAAGTTCACCTCGTAAAAATAAAAAGCCACTGCTATTGCAACTGCAAAGCTCGAGCTTGAAGCTCTATCTTCCACTGGGAACGAGAAGGAATAAAAAAATAAAGTGATAACATCTACAGAGCTGCTTAAGATTCGTTTGGCTGAATAAGTATTCAAAGCTAGAGTGCATACATGTTCGGAAGTTAATTGGTTAAAACAGTAGAGCACAACTTGAACTTCGCTATACCAACTAAACAGGCGAAATTTAATCAATTTCTGAACACTAATTACCTTTGAGAAGGTCTTCGATAGCTTTGACCGTTAAGTAACTTGGAAATTACTTTAACTCTATAACATGCGGTGCCCCAAATCTCTATCAAGTTTATTCAACAGCTACATGACAGTGCCACATGTCAAGTGATCCACAACGAAAAACTCAGAGAAGTTTTTGAAATGAAGACTGTGGTTAGAAAAGGCCGTTTACTATCGCTGATGATATTCCTGAGTGTGGTGGACTGGATTATGTAGCACACCGTGCGTGGGAGCAAGAAGACACGAATATATTGGACCGATAAGAAGACGCTAGAAGATCTGGACTGCATGGATGATTTATGCCTATCACGTAAACTCGAAGGTTAACAGGCGGAAACCAACAAACTCGCAGAAGAAACAGCAAAAACAGGAATTCAGATATACATAGAGAAAATCGAGATAATGATCGTAACCAACCAACAAGCACCAGTCACTATCAGCGGAATAAACTTGAAAGACATCACTTCCTTCATTTATCTAGGTGGCATCGTTTCAACTGCAGGCAACAGCACGGATGATGATGTCAAAACCCCAATTGGAAAGGCAATAGAGACCTTTATCACTCAGAAATGGAGTTTGGAAGGCTCCTGTACTCGGCATAAACAACGAAATTCAAATTTTCAATACTATTGTTATGTCAGTCAGTGCTTCTAAATGGGCCAGAAACTTGGTGCGTACCAAAAAGCACTTCATGTAGTCTACTGAAGACTTTTATCAACAACTGCCTTCTCTGGTTCCATATTGAAGATCAGATAGTCAGCCAGAAAGGATTAGCAACAAGAAACTCTCAGAACGAACCAATCGAGAACCTATTGTTCAACAGGTATGCAGAAGAAAATGGAGATGAATAGGACGCAGGCTGAAGAGACCGTTAAATGACATCTCGTGTCAAGCTGCCCCTCGAGTGGGACATGGAGGAGATTGTGCAAGGAGATGAAAAACTATGGGTGATCGTGGGGCCAGCTAAAGAGGATCGCAAGGAGTAGAAAAAAAAGTAGAGATGTGCTGCTGAAACCCTATGTCCCACTGGGAACCCAAGGGAACAATAATATAGTAACAATAATAATTATAACAGTAGTAATTAAAAACTACCTTTGATTTTACATACTACTTCATGTCGATACTTAAACTTTTTTACTACGTGTTATAAAATTCATATTTGAAAAGATGTTAAAAAATACACTCAAAATATAACTGTTCACATCATTTTAAAAACAGAATTAAAGATTTCAGAAAATCTAATACAAATGTACTTTATTTAAGCAAGGAAAATATTCAATTAGTGAGATTGTGAAGTTTCTTTACATTAACTGAGATGACTAGACCGCGTTTAACGCATGCCAATCCACCGGTCTTCTCGTCCAACAATATATGCTGACATAGGATTAGGTTGGAAAAGGGTTAAGGCGTGGTCAATTCAAAACCCCACATCAATCTAATTGCTGCTTACTGACAAAGGAATAATAATCTGGTCCCGTTTGTACCATAAGAAGTGGAAATAAGCACCAAGTCTTTCGTCTTCTACCGTTACAGTAGAACCTGAAGGCATATTGCTTTCAGCCAGTGTAGCTCGTTGGATAATTGCGATATGCAAGCCAGACTACCACATCAAGATAGTGGCTATCGATCGGAGTTATAACAGTGAACGCTAGAGGATTATATTTCGGCTTATAAGATAGGACTAATACTATCGGATAGAACCATCTCTACATACTCCAACAGTAGTACAGTTAAGAAGTTCAAGTTTAAAAGGCTATGACAAGAGCTCATTTTTCAAATAATTCCTTTTATATTTAGATGTCCAGCGATAAACATTAAGCTGTACTGTATTCAAACGGCTTTTCCTAAATATGATTTCCTGAAATATGATGGTATTGTATAATCTGAGACACACAGTTCTTTTCTTAGTACCATGTAAATCCCTGAGAAATTAAAGCTACTGTAATTTAGAAAAGATAGGCCACAAAGAACTCTGGCAATAAACTAACCAACCCCAACCTACTGCTAAACAAATTAGCAAAGTGAAATGGAGATTGATCAGATTTACTCTGAGGAGACATTCAAATAACATCACACACAACAGACAGCCTCTCCAGTGGAAACTGGATACAAAGCAATGGGCTAGACATCCTAAGGTGACATGAAGAGCAAATGAAAGCTTGTGGGCAGTCGTGGAACCAATAGGAAGTGATACCAGAGAGCCAAGTGCAACAGGAATGTGCTGCTGAGGCTTTGTGTTCTACTCGGAATACGAAAAATTAGAAATAATTACTATAAGGCTCCCTAAATTGTACATGTATGATGAAGTCAGGTAGCAAAGAATGATGACATAAGATATGCAAATAAAAATTTAAAAAATTATGTTATGATAAAAAATAATCATCGGCAGCCTGATTAAAACCCCTATCATTATATTGCATATAATTTGTCTTGTTCTGTTTGTTTTAATCTATTAAAATATGATATCTAGAGGTATTGTCCACCCTCGCGAGTATTTAAAACTTTTACAGCTTTCCGATTCATAAGTTTCCACTATACTTGAGAAAGAGCATAATCGTTTATGGCAATGTATCCCAATACATGAGAGAACTGTTCATGATATTTTTAGAATACAAACTGCCACAGCCTGAGAGATAAATCTAACTACCTACCTGAAGTCTTTAATTATTTAGTTATGTCCTCGATTCTAAAAATGTTCTTCTGTGCATTTAAAAAAAATGGCTTTTAACCAAATATCCTGCATTTCTGGAAAGTGGTGAAACAGAAATACCATAAGGGACTGGTGGCAAAGTTCAACAATAAGGTCCCAAGGGATGCGAACGCACGACTGACCTTCAGTCGACCAATCATAAAAATCAGGAAGTTTTGCACAGAAATTGGCGTATATTTACAAGAAAATGCATGAAAACACATTATAAACAGGGTATCTTTCTCTGACATGACTTAAAAATACGTCCCAGTTATAATGAGGAGTATCAGTTGCTAAGTTAGACCAGTGTGGTGTGAACATTTTCATAAACGTTTAGCATTTATATTATACACTATTCACATCTTTCATTTTTGTTTAAACCAGATCCTATACTGGAATTATAAAACGAATAAAGCCTTTATTGCGGGCCCTCAGTATTCTCACTTGATCGGTGAATGTTTGATTAACTCATAAACACTACAATTTATTCGTTTTATTATGGACAAGATATTACGTCCCGAACGCTTTGATGCTGATTCCAATTGCCAAACATCTTCGAAGATTTGGAATCATTGGTTTCGTACATTCAATACTTTTATCACTAAATCTTCAACTCCAGATTCAGACAAACTTGATGTTCTCATCAACTATATCTCACCTACTGTATATGAATACATTGCTGAATGTAAAACATTTGACGGCGCTCTTAGTACTCTTGAGAAACTGTATGTCAAACCAAAGAACGAGATTTTTGCTCGACATCTATTATCCACATGCAAACAAGAAACTGGACAGAGCCTCGACCAATTTTTACAAAAACTGAAATCTCTGGCAAAAGATTGTTCATTCAAACCTGTCTCGGCTGAACAAAATCAGAATGATGCAATACGTGACGCATTCATAAGTGGAATGCAATCTAATAATATACGACAACGTCTTCTGGAAAACAAATTACTTGATCTTGATACTGCTTATGAACAAGCTCGATCCCTAGAAATGGCTTATCAACAATCACATTCGTTTCATCCTTCCGAATTCTCCAATTCTGCTGCAATATCAAACAGTGATGCATCAAATGAACTAAACTCTTATGTGGGTGAAACAGGATTGACTGCTTCAATAAATGAGAAATGCTACTTCTGTAGATTTACTAGACATCCTCGCTCTAAATGTCCTGCAAGGGATGCAGTATGCAAACTCTGTGGTAAGAAGGGGCATTATCAGAAGGTCTGCCGGTCAAAATCGTACACCAAAACTACATCAGTTACTAGTTCTTTGTTGTCTTCCATGACTCTAGCCGCCGCTCCACAGTCTCTCTCCAATGCGGTTGTGCAGCTTTTTGTAAATGACATTCCCCTACAAGCCCTCGTAGATACTGGGAGCTCAGACAGTTATATTTCTTGTGCAGTCGTTCAAAAACAACATATAAAGGTAGAGCATTCTCGCACTTCAATCACAATGGCTTCCACAAGTCTGACAACTCATACTCATGGTCACTGTTATGTAAATCTACGTTATAAAGACTCAAGTTACTCACATATCAAACTTTCAGTGTTGCCAAATCTGTGTGCTGATGTGCTATTAGGTCATGATTTTTTACGCTTGCATAATAAACTCGAAATTCCATTTGAAGGTAAAAACAATCCATTTTCACTGTGTAATCTTGTTGCTGCACATATTGATCCACCTCCCTTGTTTCATAACCTAACACCCAAATGTGTTCCGATCGCTACAAAATCACGAAGACATTCCACTTCAGATGAACATTTCATCAAGCTGGAAATCAAAAATTTACTCAGTGAGCAGATCATCGAACCATCAAACTCCCCTTGGCGCGCCCAAGTTTTGGTCACTACTAATGAACGCCACAAGCGTAGAATGGTGATTGATTACAGCCAAACGATAAATCGTTTCACATTATTGGATGCCTATCCACTCCCAAAAATTGATGAGATGATTGAAAAGATTTCAAAATATACTGTATTTAGCACTTTGGATTTAAAGAGTGCTTACCATCAAATACCCATCAAAGAAGAAGAGAAACTCTTCACAGCTTTTGAAGCTTGCGGCAACCTCTATCAGTTCCGTCGTATTCCCTTTGGTGTCACAAACGGTGTTTCGTGTTTTCAGAGAGTTATCAGTCAGATTATCAGAAATGAAAATCTTCAAGCTACATTTGCTTATTTAGATAATATAACTATTTGTGGTGAAAACACAGAACAACATGCAAAAAATCTTGCCCGGTTCTATGAAGCATCCAGAAAATATGGGCTAACATTCAATGAGAATAAAACTGTTATTGGCGTTAAACAAGTAAAACTTCTAGGCTATGAAGTTTCTCATAAAATGATCAAACCTGATCCCGATAGACTTCAAGCATTATGGAATTTATCACCTCCACGAGATCTTAAATCCCAACAGCGAGTCATTGGTCTCTTTGCGTATTATTCACAATGGATATCTCATTTCTCCGATAAAATTCAACCCCTTATACAAAATAAAATCTTTCCATTACCAGGTACTATTGTAAGCTCATATGCAGCATTAAAAAATGAACTTGCTCAATCTGTGATGACTACTGTGGATCTTGACTTGCCCCTTATAGTGGAAACCGACGCTTCGGATACTGCTATAGCTGCTACGTTAACACAAAATGGTAGACCCGTTGCATTTTTTTCCAGAACACTATCACCAAGTGAACGGCATCACTCAGCGGTGGAGAAAGAAGCTTATGCCATCGTCGAAGCTATTAGAAAATGGCGTCATTATTTACTTGGTACTCATTTCCAACTCATTACAGACCAACGATCAGTTTCTTTCATGTACGATATGAACCACCATGGGAAAATAAAGAATGACAAGATTCAGCGTTGGCGAATAGAACTTTCTTGTTACAGTTTTGATATAATCTACCGTTGTGGCAAAGAAAACAAAGTCGCCGATGCATTATCTCGCGGATATTCTGCTTCTGTCATGGGTGAAACTAATCTGAAAGACCTACATAACTCTCTGTGCCATCCAGGAGTTGTTCGCCTTCTTCACTTTGTGCGTTCTAAGAACCTACCTTTTTCTGTTGATGATGTGAAGAGGACGATATCTAGTTGTGCAGTTTGTGCTGAGCTGAAACCCAGGTTTTGCAAAGTATCCACAGGAAATCTTATTAAAGCGACTTCTCCTTTTGAACGTCTAAATATTGATTTCAAAGGACCTCTTCCTTCAAACTCCCGGAACAAATATCTTCTTACGATAATTGATGAGTACTCTAGATTTCCGTTCGCTTTTCCTTGCCAGGATATGACAGCATCAACTGTTATTAATTGCCTGTGCCAGTTGTTTTCCCTGTTTGGTATGCCATCCTACATACATTCAGACAGAGGATCGTCGTTTATGTCTGCAGAATTAAAACATTTTCTCCACGATAAAGGAATAGTTACCAGTAGAACAACAGCATACAACCCCCAATCAAATGGACAGATTGAACGTCTCAACGGCACTCTCTGGCGATGTATATCACTAGCTGCTAAATCTAGGTCCATACCAATCTGTGAGTGGGAAGTTGTTCTCCCCGACGCTCTTCATTCTATCCGTTCTCTTTTATGTACTGCCACAAATACTACTCCACACGAACGGATGTTCAGGTACAATCGAAAATCAACGTCTGGTGTTTCTCTTCCCAGTTGGTTAACTATTCCTGGACCGGTCTTGATGCGCCGTAATGTACGTTCTAAATATGAATCTCCAGTTGATGAAGTTGAACTGATTGAATGTAATCCCAAGTATGCTCATGTGAGACTTCCAGATGGACGTGAGGAAACAGTATCTATTCATCATCTTGCACCAAAAGAACATATATTTCAATCGCCCGTTAGCATGCCGATTCCAGACGCAGTACCAGAATGCCTCCAAAATCAACTTACTGAAGACGACATATCGACCCGTTCTACAGATACTGAAACTCCTATTTTGACGGACAATTTAAGTGAAAATGTCAAAATTGATCCGAATCCATCTTCTTTACTAGAGAAACAACGAAGGGTTCGTCCATACAATCTGAGAAGCCGCGAAGTCTAAACAGTTTTAAAAGTCTTGACTCCTTATGCTCTGTATTCTCAAACAAAAGGGGAGAAGAATGTGGTGTGAACATTTTCATAAACGTTTAGCATTTATATTATACACTATTCACATCTTTCATTTTTGTTTAAACCAGATCCTATACTGGAATTATAAAACGAATAAAGCCTTTATTGCGGGCCCTCAGTATTCTCACTTGATCGGTGAATGTTTGATTAACTCATAAACACTACAACCAGTTTCTGCACATATATTCACCGAGGTGACTGAAGATGAGCTGTTTTTGTGAATTGCTTATCTCTCTCATACAACTGTGCAGTCTTCCCCAAAAGCTCTCGGTTAAATTACTATGGTTTCCAGTAATAGGATCGACAACTACTTACCAGGAAAATGTGGATAATAAAACAAATTAAAATAAATGACATCGCCTATAAATCTATCCCTAATACTAACCCTAACCTAAATCCTGACCCTAATGCTAATTATAACTCTGTTCCTAACCCTAACGAGCTATTAACACATTGTCTAAACAGTACTTAAAAACGTGATCTGGGTGAAATTTGCTGCTCAGCTGGTGAATAGCATTGGTATTTCAGCTATGATAACGACTAGCATGCGTTCAAGGTCATTGGAGCGTTCGCACTCCTAGGACGCTATTGTTGAACTTCGCCGGACTGGTTTTCGCTTCAGGTTAGACAGCAATGTGTTGCGCTATTTGTAATCAAAATTACTGCCTTACTTGAAGATACTGGATGAAGAGAATTTATTATGCAATAAATTCCACTGAAAATTCTGTACATTATATGACCACTGCTCAGAATAAAACTAGTATTATTATTATTGTTGTTGTTGCTTGAACTCAGTTCCAGGAACAGGTTTTTCACGTCCCAGTTGTCCAGATCAAGAAGAAAATATAGGTGGAGAGGGTTTCGAATCGGCAACCCATTTACCCGAAACTCGGGTGGTTAAGTCAATTGACCACATCTCCACTTTTAAAAACAAAAAAATAATAACTGAATAGTCGAAATCTTTTCAGGTAACAGAGAAGAAGACAACACATGGATAACCTGTAAAAAGGTTAGGATCCAATCAAAACGGAAACAGCACATGTACATTCGACGGTAAGATAATACTACAGTGTCAGTGGAACAGCACATGGTGGAGGGTTCGATCCCTTACCGACGCACACCTGATATCAATGGTCGACCTGCAAAATTTGGGTTACTTGTACCAAAAGTGCTGTGTGGAATCAAGCTATAATCAAAAAAAGAAAAAAAATTAACTTACTCGTAAATCAATATTGATAGTGACTGGTCGTTGAGATTTCGATGTATCTAAAGTATGCCCCCGGTGTCTAACAACATTACTATTAGAACTTGTCGATAAAGTTGAATGATTATTATTATTATTAACAGTTGTATTACCCGGTGAAAATGATGATCCACTTTCATTATTAGATTGTTTTAACACCTCGACAATTTCAACATTATTTGCATTGATTTCATCGTCGTCTAAATCTTCTTCAATATTACGTATAATATCAGATGGTGCCCCGCCGGTGACAGCAACAATTTGTGCTGGTGAACAACGATCTAAATAAGCTGGTACATGATGATGATGATCATGATTATTATTATTATCATTGAATCGATTTATTGTCCCACGACGGTATTCATCACTAATATTTACAACGGTTTCAACAATTTCATCATCATCTTGTCCTGAGTTCATTTCAATGATATCACATAAATTAGGTTGTATAGATGCATCATCACCATCATCAGCATTGTGACGATTATTATGATCATCCGTAATATTACTAGTCGATATTTTTGAATCAATAAAGGGATTATCTACTGTTGACACTTCATTTTTCACGGGTAACACATCAGATTCTGAAGATATGATTGGTTTAAATAGTGAAGATTGATAATTTGACAAAGTTGCATCAATATTATCATTACTAATATGATTATTACTAGAAGAATTTATGCTTTGATCATTATTCTCTGAAGGTTCACTACTCAACGAATTGTCTATTCCTTCTAAAGATGTAGATGATATATCTTCTTGATGTTGTCGTGGTACAGATTGTTGAATGAATGAAATATTATTATTACTTTCAATATATTTACTATCATTATTGTTATTATTATTATAATCATCATGATTATTTGGCGGATCTTTGAACTCTAAAATTTTATCGGATAAATTATTATCATCATTATTAGTGTATGATGAGGATAATGTAATCTCTTGTGTAGTTGATAATGAATCAATCTCATTCACTGGGGTATAATTTGAACGAATACGTATTTCTTTACCTTCTGACGTCGGTGTTACAGCAGGTGATGATGATGATGGTTGTTCAGAGGGTGAATTCAATGGACTCGATAATGATGATGATTTTTCTGGTGCATAGACTAAGGTTATTTTAGTCTTTTTCTTTTTTGAAATTATTTCTTGATCTTCTTGTTGGTGTTGTTGCGGTGGTGTTCGTGGTGATGGTGTGGATGGTTCGCTTTCTCCGCCTCCATCGACTGTAGATGACAAGGTTGAAAATGCTGTTGCATACGAGTTTAAAGAAGTATTACTCTGATAGAATGTGTCATCCGCTGAGGAATTAGCATTCGGTGTTGACTGATCACTTCCATCGGAAATTGTTACATATGATGTGTGTGAACTCCAACTAGGATCATTCTGAAATAAATACAGTATAGTAATATATATATATATATATATATATATATGGACATGAATTAGAAAATGAAAGACAAAGATCGTATTACGTAATATTAATCACTCATCAATTCTGCGTGGTTAAAAAAATACCCCTTTTTTTGTTTATCCTCACTCTAATATTGTGAGGAAATCAACATTTTAAGTCCATAGCTGGAGAGGTAGAAATGTGCATTCTTCAAATGTGGATTTGATTTACGCTGTGGTCAGGAAATAATCTCATTGGACAACTTTTTGTCCCTTTGCTTAACATTGAGCCAATCGCCAACCAATCAGAACAGTCTATTGTCCACTGACCTAGCTGACTTTTATTAGTACGGTTAAAAAAATGCATTAAAGTGTGATGCGTTTTTCCTTCATAAAATGGTTTGTTGCCAATTCCCTGTTATCTTCCGCCGTTAAAATATATGTAAGATAAAACACCTTTATCTGTGACCCTAACACACAAATCAAGATAGAACCTAGCCACTCGGGTTTATAGTTACAGGTGCAGTGTTTATCTTCTCTGCTTAACAACTCAATGTGCGTCGGTGGCATAGCGGTTAGGACGCTCGCCGACCATGCACATGGTCCGGGGTTTGAACCCCGGTCACTGGACGCACTCCTTTACCTCGCTAAGCCAGTAATAAGCCTAGTAAAGAGGGAAGGTTGGGCGTGAGGTTAGTAACCCCATCCCGTAAAATTAAACGCCACTGCTACAGAAACTTCAAGCCTCTAGCTTGAAGGCGCCCTATTTTCCACTGAGAACGTAAAGTAATAAAATAAATTTAACGACTCAATAGTCAACTGCTTTCTTTAACATGTGCTTGGTTCTTCACCTCCTCAAATAGTTAAACCACCAATCAAGCCAGGCTTTATTTAATTTCGAACATTTGGAAAAGATATCAGGGACTAATTTATCAGCTTTACGATTTACTTCATATTTCTCTACTTCCCAATTATATCCTGTCATCATGTCCATAATTAGCAACGTCACATCAACTGCCTATTAATCCAAACAGACCAGACAATCTCTCCACGAGGTAAATTGGTGGATGGTGACTCAGCAGCGGGATCCAGGACAACGCACATTTCATCCTATTTAGGACTCATCATCTCGATGTACCTGCACTTTCCAGTGAGTCAGTAGTGATGGTACTCTCACTGAGACTCAAACCCATCACTCATCGTTTCAAACTCCAAAAAGTTACCCCATAGACCATTTGGGTCACAAGAGCCACGTTTTGTGTAACAGGCGTCAGTTATCATTTGTTTTTAATTCAATTTTCATTTCCTCGTTGACATGACGTCTTTACTAACTAGGAACAAACATGTCAACAACAGAGAACGAACAATTCGGTTCATTCAATCAACAGGAAAATCAAAATTGCATGGAGGACTTCATCATGAGCTGACATCAGTTAGAGAATCCCTGGAAAACCTGGGAGTACTGGACAGCCGCTTCGTGAGCCTAGTTTTGGACTCTTCATCGGTACGCACCGACCCCCATGGTTCGAACCGAGGACCTTCTGGTTACAAGGCGGGATAACTAGTAGACTATTAAGCCACTAGGAGCTGATCCAATGACCAGCCCATGAATTCCAACTTCTACCAATTCACACACGATATATAGCGTGACTGGCACTAGCCAATGTCATCAGTGGAGAGTATTTATCCCCACACCCGACCTGCTGTATCCCAATGGTCACAACTTGTCACTAGAATCCAGGTAATTGCTTACATGAATAGGGCCAGTGACTAGTGAGCATCAGTCAGATTGAAAAAAAGAGTTACGTGAAGAAAATATGATGAAAAGACGTGCAAAACCTATATCAAATCAAGTAAAACCAGTCAACAACACGCTCCCGTGACCTCGTCATCTTGCTTATGAAAACTCCAATCATAGTTTTTTCAATGTAATATTTCAGACAATATGGTCAACACATGACTACATTGGGGTCATCGATTGGAGCCATATAAAAGTTATGAGAATATCTTTTCTTATGAAGCTTGAAACTGATTTATCAAACTAGTTAGCCTATGTAGCTGTGATTCATTGGATGATGATGATTCTTTAGAGAATCTAATTTCCTACTTCAATGTTTGTGATTACCTTGTCTAGGATAAGGCTTCATCGCACAAGATAGATTATTACTATTATCATAAGATGTAGGCTCATTTTCTGGTAGGGACCGACTGATGTTGAAATAGGATGCTTATTATTATTCCCTTGAGTTTCGAGTGGAACAACACATTTCCACTTTGTCCTATCTTCTGGTGTCTTCTTCAGCCTGGCCCACGGTTGCCCACAATCTCTTATCTCCTCCCCATACGATCTCCTTCATGTCACCCCCGCACTGACGACCCACTCATTGCTTCCCATTGGGATTCCACTCAAGCAATGGCCTGGCGTGCGATGTCATTCGGCGGTCTCTTCAATGTATGCCTGATCCATCTCCATTTCCTCTTACATATTTGTTGAGCGAACGGTCCTTGGTTGGCTTGTTCCCACAGTTTCTTGTTACTTATTCCTGCTGGCCGTTTGATCTTTGGTATAGAGCGAAGGCAGTTGTTGATGAAAGTCTGCAGTAACCTGTTGGAAATTCTTTTCGTGACACGCAGTTCAAGTTTCTGACCCGTATAGAAGGACCAACTTCACATTGGTGTTGAAAACCTGAATTCGGTTCCTTACGTTGAGTGAAGAAGATTTCCAAACTGGTTTTAGGTTGATGAAGGCGTATTTTGCCTTTGAGATTCTAGCTGGCTGACTTTGACATCTTCATCCATTCCGTCTTTGGTAGAAACGATGCTTACTGCCCATATAAGTGAAGGCAGGAAGTAACTTATCTCAAATCTCTCCCGTTGATGATGATTGGTGTTGGTTGTTTTTGCTGTTGATCTTCATCACCTCCGTCTTCTCTATTTTCACCTGGAGACCTATCTTTGCTGCCTGCATCTTAAACCAGTTTGTTGGTTTTCGTTTGCAAGTCTTCGAGCTTATGTGACATTAGACATATCATGCAAGCGCGAAATCCAGATCTTCTAGAGTCTTCTTATTGGTGGTCCAGAGTACTCCTATCTCCTCGTTCCCAACGCACAGTCTGAGGCATAAGCCAGTCCATTACAATTAAGAATATCATTAGTGATAATAGACAGCCAACCCTGTCTTACTCCTGTATGCACTTCGAACGCCTCGCTGAGTTTCCCTTTATGGATCACCTGACACGTGGCAAGTATTGTCATATAGCCAGTTGTTGAATGAGGTTGATTAAGACTTTGACACTGAACGTCGTAGTGTTGAGGCAGTTTCCAAATTACTTCTCGGTTAACGCTGTCTGGTGAAGGTCTTTTCGAAGTCGATGAAGTTGAGGTAGAGTGAGGTTTGACTGTCATTCTATGCTTTGTTCTGTGATGATGATGCATAGAGTTGCAATTTGATCAACACATGATTTGCCTTTCCTGAATCCAGCTAGTTCTGGGCGGAGTTCTGTATCCAATAGGATGCTTAGGAGAATTATAAGATTTAATTAATAGTGAACTATTCCTATATCATGAATTAAAATTTTCAATCTGAACGAAGAACATATTCTTTTCAATAAATCCTCTTCAGGATCTTACAATCAGAAAACATATCATTTGTTATTGTTGCAATAATAATGGCCAGTTATGCAGCAGATAAATTTTTTCACGCAGAGAAACAGATTAGTAGTTATAGAATGAGAAAATAAACAGTATTTGTGTGACAAATGTACTAGGCAGAATTCAAATGCAAATTATTGAGAAATGCGACACGACAATGGTGACAAGCCGTACAATGCCGGGAAGGAAAGTTGACGAGGTATCACAGGTGAGTGGCTAGTACACAGTAATATGTATTAAAGATGATATAGTAAGACTGTAGTGGAAAGTTCATCATGGAATAACTAATACGTGAAATGAAACAGGTGGAAGCATATATTAAGAAAGGAGATAATATTACTAATAACAAGTCAGGATAGTACAAATGGAAAATTCGATCGTATTGAAAGAATGCTAGAATGAAGAGTATTAATTATATTAATAATAATAATAAGTGAAGCCTATTAAAGAATGGATAAGAGGAAGGGGCACTCTTGGAAAGAAGAAATTTAAATCCAAGTTTGGCCACAGCCTGAACGTGTTCTTTTCGGATACAAAGTTCCGGTTTGGTCAATCTTATCTCAACAGCTTCAGTTATATGTAGGAGAGGTAGGCGAACTGTGCGTGATAATAACTACGGAATGTGGTATATAACCCTGAAGGCTATGTTGGCATCGATGCAATGTCCAGTATCGACCAAGTGTGACAGGATCGAACTTCTTTTGTATTTGATTTCCTCCCTGCTGAACCAAGTTGGTAAATGTTTTCAAATTCGTGGACGAACCTGCCATATTTAGAAAGCTAGAGACCGAAGCTCAATACACACACTCCCTTAGCTTCGTACCCACGAAATATCAACGTAATCTGACCAGGTGCTTAGCACTTAGATCGAGGTCGATTTGCTCCCAAGATTGTGTAGAAAAAGAATTCCAGGTCACCAGGCATATTCCAAGCAAAGACAGATATCCAGAGAAGTTTACAAATACCAATATAGGTTATCATAGTCGCAAACTTGAGTGGCAATGGTAGAGAAAAAGACATTTTTGTGTCTTTAATTCAAGGGAGATACTCCTGTCGATACTCTATCCAAACGTCCAATCAGAACGATAAAGAAGGTTTTCTACTCTGCATGTCTGTTCTTATCCTTCAGTAGCCATCCGATGCTCATCCTAAAACTGGAAGACGTCTTACGTAACCTTGACTGACTGATTGGTTTCAACGTAGATTTTTGCACCGATGTGCAGCAGTTCGAGTAGGCACACTTCAATTAACACACAAAGTAAGAGAAGAAAGTATAAAGACACGCAAAACAGAGACAGTAATCAGAGATATGAGGCAAAAAGAATAGTAATATCGAAGAACAATACAGTTTTATTGGTGCGTCGGTGGTACAGCGGTTAGGACGCTTGCCGACCATGCACATGGTCCGAGGTTCGATCCCCGGCCGACGCACTTCTTTACCTCGCTAAGCCAGAAATAAAGCTGGTTAGGAGGAAAGGTTGGGCATGAGGCTAGCAACCCCATCCTGTAGAAATAAATACTGCTACAGAAACTTCAAGCCTCTAGCTTGAAGCCCTATGTTCCACTGGGAACGTGAAGGAATAAGAAATATATGTTATACTGAGTATTATAAGTCACAAGTAGTGGATGCATCTGTGCCATTGAGAATGATTTTGAGCCATATCACCAATTGTATCCAACCATTAGTTTTTACCGTCCTGAAGACCCCAACCAGGAAGTCTACACCTTCCTACGTGGCTGGCTTAAACTAACTTGTGGATTTCATTGATTGATGCCATGTTTTTGTTTCAACACCACTGGGTTTTTTCCAATTTGATTCTTTCTATGTCAGTTAACATTACCCTTCGAGAAAGGTTATGACTAGGCAGGCATGAGTAACACATGTCCTAGCCATCACTATCGATGTAACTTCACAGCCTCGTCTATTGATTTCCCTTCTTTACCTAGCACTCAACCGATGCCTAACCTCATTATTGCTCACCCTATTATACCAATTCACACGGAGATAGAACGCGGGCACCTATGATCAAAGACAGCTATCCTTTTCATGTCTTCCACTCTCAATGACCATGTCTCACAGCCATAAAGGAGGACAGAGTGGAGTGCTGAACAGCACACACGCCCTTTGGTCGATAGCCGGATATCACGTCTACTAAGCCAGAGACGGCGTAAACTGGAATATGCAGAACGAACCTTTCATATCCATGCTGAGATTTCGTCAGCGATCAACTCGTAGCCTTAACTTTTCCTTATACACATACTGTGGTTGAAGTTATGTAGGGTGTACGATTAGACAGGTCCTTCTACGAATCCGAAAACATCTACCTGTTTAGGTTCAACAAGGAGGAGATCAAATGCATAAGAAGTTCGATTCTGTGACACTTGATCGATATACTGGACATCGCATCAACGCCAACGAATAGCCTTCAGGGTTACAAAAACCACGTTCCGAAGTCATTATCATGCACAGTTCGCCTTCGTTTCCTACATATAGCTGAAGCTGTTGTGATAAGATCGACTAAACCGGAATTTTCCAGAAACAACCTTTAGTGATGGGAATCGATCGTCAAATTTTTAAAAAAAAGTCCTTGATAATAAACTTTATATAAAGAATGAAACATACACGTATATCATCTAAGATGTCGAATTATAAGTACTTACGTAATCCTGAGCATCCAAATAGTTACTTGATTCATGGTTCATATGCTTCAGTGGAGAATCAGTCTCCTTGTTCTCCTAAAAAAATACATAGAAATCATTAATCATTGATCTATCCATCCATCTATCCATATACACAGAAATAAAATTCACTCTATGTACCATTAACATTTAGATATAGTTATGACAATTTCGATTATTGAACATATGTAGAAAACCAATTGTCAGTTAGAAGGCAATGTCTATTTCAAACGACTTGAATTATTTGCTGTATGCCAAGTAGAGTTATATTGTCATCTATCTTCAGTTGAAACTGTAACTTATACGATAGAACATTGAGTCAGCTGACCGACTGACGTTTTGGCTGGGTTTTGTAGCATAATTAAATCTCATAATTTTAAATTCACTAGATATTAACACCATGATTGACAACATCACTGATAAATTGATTATATACTTTTTGAGGATTGCCAAGAACAATGCCAAGACAAGGCTGCCTACTACCGCCATTGGTTTTCCTGATTGCAGTAGATTGGATAATGCGACAAACAGCGGGCAATGAGGAAACAGGCATAAAATGGACTCACACAAAAAACTTCGAGGATCTGGACTTCGCCGATGATATATGTCTGATTTCCCACAAACTGGAAGATATGCAAGCGAAAAGCAACAAGTTGGCAAAAGAAGCATCCAGAGAGGATAGGACTTCAGGTGAACAGAGGTGATGAAGATTCCTGAACAAGAACAACAACAACAACAGACAACGACCAGCATAAATGGAACGAACCTGAAAGAAACAACCTCTTTTACCTACCTGGGAAGCATCATCTCAACTACAGGAGGACGGAACTGACGAGGATATCAAAGCAAGAATCGGAAAAGCAAGACAAGCTTTCACTGCTCTCAAGTCTCTGTGGAGGTCAACAGCACTCAGTATGAAAATGAAAATAAGATCCGGATTCTCCACTCCCATGTGAAGTCAGCGCTACTATACGGATCAGAGACTTGCACTGCGCGTCATAAAGAGCATCTCAAACAAACTACGGACTTTCATTAACAGTTGTCTTCGCTCAATACTCAAGATCAGATGGCCAGAATAGATCAACAATAGGGACCTGTGGGAGCAAACCAACCAGGAACCGATTGTGCAACAAATAGGCAGGAAGTAATGGAGATGGATTGGCCATTCTCTGAGGAAACCATCAAGTGACATCACTAGACAAGCCATTGCTCGAGTGGAACCCGAAAGTGAAGTGGCGAGTTGGTCGTCAGTGCAAGGGTGACTTGGAGGAGGTGATGTGAAGAGGAGATGAAAACGTGTGGGCAGACTTGGAGCTAGGTGAAGACTAGCAGGGAACCGAACGCAATGGAGACGCATGGTTGAAGCCCTATGTTCCTCTAGGAATTAAAGGAAACAAGAAGAAGAAGAACAATATCAAAGTACCAACAATTTAAGTAACTACTATTGCGCATTTCAGTTATTATTAGGTATTTGGAGGCAATCAATCGGCAGGAAGCTTTGGACCTAGGTTTCGTCCTTGTCACCAAGGCGTATCTGCAATCTTCAAGGAATTCATGGTAACATCTCTGACTGTATCACTGGGTGATACGGGTTCGAATCTCAGAAGGGACATGAGTCCCTTCAAGGTTGCAGACACGCCTTGCTGACTGGAGAGTGACAAGCACGAAACCTAGGTCCAAAGCTTCCTGCCGATTGATTGCCTCCAACCACCTAACTGATAATAACAAATCAGAGTAAAGGTGATCTGTTTAATTATGGTTTACAAAGCAGCAGAATGAAAATAGTGGAATCTTAAACTACCCAAAAAAAACTCATATGTAAGCTCAATGCATACTGGTGCTTGTGTATGCAAAGACTCAAAATCCATCAGATATTAAGGAATGTGTAGGCTGGAGTTACCCCGCCTCCCCCCCCCCATATTCAAGTCAATTCTACAAATATGATGCAGAACTATATTGGTTTTAAAATATATTTAAAAGAACACGTAATGAAATGAAACACCGACATTATTCAAGACACAGACATAGACAATACATCATTTACCAAAATAATGGATATAAACAAAATAAAATAAAATAACAGCATAGAATTGATTACATTTTTTTTCAATAGCACTTAAATATGCACTTACTTCAGTAGAAACATCTCCAGCACTCCATGTAGACATTTCTTTCTAAAAATAATCACAAACATAACCAGCTAGTAAAGCAGTCTACACAAAAACGAAAACATACACAATCTTAACACATAAAACAATACCAGACAGCACGACTACTAGTCAAAGTAGAACTTTCCACCGAAGTGAATCTATTCAAGTTGCTACACTTTGTGGAACGACACAAGTAGCAAAACAGAAGTGCAGTGAAACTATCATGGAAAAATCAATATGTGAATAGAATTTGGGCATTGTATAGTAGAGTATAATCCCACCGTATAGAATAATTTTATTTGATACCAACACACAAGGATACATAATAACGTTACATTACTTTAAGATCTTCTCTTTGCACTTCCACTATATCTTATCCTTTGATCTTACTTAGTAATGATATTTTTCATATCTCAGGTATTGGCGATTCGTCATTCTTATTGCAAGTGTTTGGTGTAGATTCAATAAACAGAGATTCACTGATCAACATCTCCTACAACCCGACTATATTACTTTTTAGAAGTGAAGCTTTGTCCCGCCCTATTGTAGAATTGTGTGTTACTGTATGAATTACGATTGCTGAGTTCTTCTCTAAGCTAGTCATCTATCAGAGTGTAGAATGACCAACCCGGGTAGATAATACTGTACTAGTGTGTCTTTATTAAATAAATTTATTTTATAATGGCACTATGGAAAAAGGTATACGGGAGAGAATAATGACTGACTGAGTCTCAGCCCAAAACTAAACACAGAAGTGCAACGGTCCAAGTTACCAAGCTTCATGTAGCACAAAAAGGGAGACAAAAGAGAGAAACAAGCGATTCAATAGTATTAGATTAAGCAAAAATGTGAAGAGGAAAGAAGAGCAATATGAAAAAAAACATTGGAGTTTAGTGGATCTAGGAGATTACAAAGAGTAAATGCATCTGAGTCACTGAGAACAACTTCCAGCTATATGTCGCCGATTGTCTCTAGCCATGGATTCTTAGAATCCAAAGGACCTCAACCATGCAGTCTACAATATACTTTATGTGGCTCAGACTAACTGTCAAAGATTTCATGAAATAATGCCAGGTTTTGGTTTGACCACCTCTAGCTCTTCTCCAACCTGATCCTATGCCAGCTAGCATTGCCTATCGAGGAAGACGACGGTTCGGTATGCATGACACGTGTCCTAGTCATCACAACCTCATCGATTGCCTTACCCTTAAAACCTAACACCACGCCCAACCTCAATATTAATTACTTAATTACATAACAACACGGGAGATAGAACGCAGACACCTATGATCAAAGACAGCTAGCCTTTTCATTTCTCTTATGACCACGCATCACAGCCATTAATAAAGACAGATCGCACGTCTTTTGGTCAATAGCCGGATATCACGTCTATGAATGAAGTGAAGTTAGCAAGTGCCAAACGAACCTTTCATATCCTTGATGAGACTTCGTCGGCAATTAGCCCATTAGGGTTGATGCAACTTCCCGAATAAGTGAAGTGATCAAAACATTCTACCGCTTCACTCCCTATTTGTAGGCTAGAAGTTGGTGTGGTCCAGTCCTGCAGTATCATTTTAGGGGAACAAACAGCATGCTAAACATCCAAAGACTTCTGCTTAGGGTACTGAGAAGACTCTGTATAATAATAATTAGGAGGCTGGAGAACACTTTCAGGATTTTGATGACAAGGAGTGAATGCATTCGATTAATGTCATAAAGAGTCTTGTCTCCTAACAATAACCCATGTCAGACAATCTAGACCTGCCTGTTTTGTCCACATCAACAGTAAGTGAATTCAAGGGTTCATGCCTTGTTTAAGTCTGACCTCATCCGATATTTTCCAAAGTTATCTTATTTCAGATAACGGTACTAGTCAGTGACTGAAAATATATGGCTTAGCCAGTGCAATCGAAGAAGCTTCATAAACTTGTCAATCGGCCTGTTATCCATACCTAAGATCCACTCTTAGTCACAGTATTACTTATTATACTGTTCCACTTAAGAGATTGAAGCAGGATACTTACGGCAGAAATGAGCTACATACCGTTCATGATATTCAGAAGACCCTGTAGTTTGTCAGTGTTTTCATCCAAAAGAACCATAACGTCTTTGGAGTCTATATCAATGAAGCCTTAACCACTGGGTCCTAGGTTCGAATCTCGTTTCACATACTTCGGCCTGGATAACTGAGTAGTAGCATCAGCCCTCAAATAATACGTGAATCAGACCATTGCTGGGTGTCTGAGTGCTAACTGTTCAACAACTTATATGACAGCATGCACTCTGCTAGTGTCCTGATTAGAATAACAAACACTCGACACTAAGTTTGCAATCCCACGTTGACAGAGAATGTCTCGACCGACGAAATTAAATGCCACCTTTAGATCAAAGAATATGGTAAGTATCGGATTCTGGTATGTCTATGTTCCGGAACATATTGAGCAGTGAAGAAATGATCAATATACCCTTATCCAAACTTGGAGCCCAACTGGTTTTCTCTCGTTGGTTCATCTTAAGCATCATTAAGTCCTTGAAGGACTACGGAAACTAGGATCTTAGATACCATATTAGTCATGCCAATATCCACATAGTTCTCACAAAGGTTTAACTTCATTTTTTCTAAACTCTGATGGCCAATCTACACCAGTCCGATGAAACTACATACACTAGTTAACATCTTTGTTTATCTAGCTAAGTCACAAGGCCCTGAAACTTTGCTTCACTTTAGATTAGACAGTTTCTGCAACCGATGTCTACATCTCATTTGGGTTCGGATTGGATGCTCGGCAATTATACACTGACCGAAATGTTACTTGAAGTATTCTACCAAATCCGCCCGTAGTCATTCTTTAGAAGTTATCAAAACTGCATCTGTCGATCACTTGATGTATGGCAGCTTTCCAGGGACCCATTTCCCTATGCACCACATGTGACGAGTATATGAAATAATTTTTTTTTAAATACCAAGATAAATATTGTTGAATGAGGTATATTACTTCGCATACGGTGACAAAAAGTCGAGAAATGCATACAGTTTCAGATTTGGGTTCATAAGCTTATATAACCAGGCATCTCAGTCTATATGCCTTCTCATTCATATAGGTTTTTCGACTGACATATGAACGTTAATATACTTACATGCAACAGCCTACTGTTATTTGAAGCTCTTATTTTTTGCAACGGTCTCAAGTCAAATGGAAGATAAGAAAGCCTTAAGACAAAGTGATAAGCATTGGAGCAATACACGAATACAATCAAAATGATAGTTGCAAGTCACACCTCTAATATACATCACAACACACAAGTACATTACACAAGGCTGCTACAATATGTGAGGGAAAACAAAAAATACATAACACAAAACTGTGTTAAGACGTTCAATGTTCTGCATATACAAGTCAAACAACCATAAACTAATTCTGAGGTGAATGAATCGAGTACGTGTTATTCATTTTCACCGATAACTTAAGTTGTCGCTATATCTGTTTTCCTGAAGATGTCTCATAAAAAAGAACTCACACAAGGAGTAAACAGGTATTTCTGAGGACCTGATGGGAAAATTTTCTGGTGAACATGGGTAAATAGGGGAAAACGTGAGTAGCCCTCCTTGAACTGACATAAGGAACATGTTTAAATGGAATAAGAGTAACTAACTGATTGGAAAGATGGGTAAGAACGTGGGGAAATACTGAAGAAAAGCGCTTTCCACGTTGCCTTTTGCCCGTTTCATATACCAAAATCGACAATTTACCCTATACTATACCCACACACTATTAACGATATCTTGTTAGAAATTTAATTCTTTAACATGCTACTGCAAGATGTAGGCGCGCGGTCAAAACGTATTATAACTAACGAATGCTGTGTATGAATTTAAAATACACCATTTGACGGTGAGGGAGTACCCCAAAGAAATGACTTAGAAAAACCAAAGCACACTGGTGAAAAACTGGCATTTGTTGTGGGGTATAGATTATTTACAGCAAATTTATGCAATAAAAATGATTTACGGAGAATGCATGCCTCTAATATGCTTCAAAAAGACATCCCAGTTTCTCCTAGGAGTGGTTTATGACATATCAGTTAAGTTTCTATACATGAATTCATCAAAATGACTACATATCATATACTCTTACGAAGTATCTTAGTAATAAGCATAAAATATCTTGCTCTGCAACTTGCGTAAGGTGGTGTGGAAAGCATAAACTAATTCGTCAAGTGAGTAACCACGTGCGCAATTATGCAGTTGACTGTGCCTTGACAAGTGCATACATTTCTACATTATGAGTCCCAATTAAACTTTACATGAGGGAAATGTAATAATATCGGTATTAATACCAAAGAGAAATCACCAGGTTTCAATTGTAACTGTTTTGAAGCAGTCCCCTAGACCAGTGAAGACGCAATCAAAACTGTCATTATTCGGCAAGTCATATATCACGAAAGGGGAGCACAGTCATAGCACATACAGATGTAGTACACAGTAATACTTAGTTATTTCATGAATCTTACCCAAGCTTAACGAAATGTGCAGAGAATTTGAAACCAACGACTCTTCGCGGGTTTTTTAAAGCGTGCGCTCTAAGATTGTGTTAGATTCTTGCGAGCTCCGAGGGTTTCAACATAGTGCCAATAGCTATTCAGACTGCTGAGTTGATTTTACTACTTTTGAAACCTCTTGATCCGATTTCACTTCTATTCTTTAGGCTCCACTCTCCTCAGGTATATGTACTGAAACAAGTTTGATTCCTTGTATTATTAATCATGCTTCCAATGCATATGCTTCCTGAGTTTTTCGTCCATGAATAAGTCAAACGCCATCATCACACTTATATATGATCCTATTGTCCCCTTAATGAGAGTAAAGAATAGCGACCCAAGAGAATGACCATCAAAATTAACCGGAACAACCTATCGGAGCACACGCATTACTGAGCAAATCCCATTTTGATCTGTCTGAATAAAATACTGATTTAAATAACAAAACATGTTTATACGGAAAGTAATGGCTCTACAGATATATATACAGCTGCCAATGATGGATATGGGATGGTTAAAGGCAGTTATTATCAATCGGCAACATTCACAATGCAATTATATCAATGAATTCATGAACGGAAATCTGTTCAAACCAACATTAAAAACTCTAATGAGGAACTGTGAGAGGCTGTTTGACATCGCCACTCTGCATAACTTTTGCACTACCCACTTTGATTCGTAGTGTACCTTGAATGTTTGAATTCATGTTTTAACGCATTCATTCTCCATGGCGCCATACCATCTTGTGATTTCCGGCGCCAATGTACACACGCGGTTCGCTCCCTTGTTCTGCTACCATTAAGCGCACTCTTAGAGCTTACTAACCAGCCGGGGAACAGATAAATTGTGTAACATTCTTACCTATTGAAGTTGATGTCTAATCTGAGAAAAAATACAACTTTCATCAGGACACACTACCCAGTCCCCAGCCTTCTTACTTTGAGCTCATTAATTAGTACTTAAACGCTAGGTAGAGTACTGATAAGGGTACTAAGAGGAGAAGTCTTTAGTAAGTGCTGTTAGCTGAGGTCTATCTTGAGTACAGTCAACACTTACAGATTTATAAAAACAAAACAACTGAGCAAAGAATATCCTTTTCGATAATTTCCCCTTCTGGCTCTACAGTTATATATACATACATGTTTATATACATAGAATATTCTAGAATAGCAGTCAATAACAATATTGGTGTTTCTTAAATACTATCGATTTGTTAAGTAAGATCAATGGAATTATAGCTCACTAAAGACGCTTAAATAATAATAATATAATAGCAAATAGAATATCAACAAAAGGAAATTTCTACAAAAAACTGAGGATCATACGAACCTAGATGGCTAAGATAAGGACAATTTCTGAACTAACTTCTTTTGGAAACGAATTAGGCTTCTTAATGTGGATCCCAACAACCAACCCCAGCAATATTTAGTAAACGAACTCTTCAGGTGAAGTTAAGATTTGTTGGCATGCGGTAAATGACTTTGAGGCAAAGTTAAACTTTCGATGCCAGTAACAACCAATCAGCAAACGACCTTGAACGGACCAACCACATGAAAGAGGCGTTTATGATAAGCGGAAAAATGCATAAAAAATGATAAAACGGTTACAATGGGTATCTTTCCCGAACATGGGAGAGAAACATTTCCCAATTCAGCATGGGACTGTCAATAGAGAAGTCGCACCACATTCTATACATATATTCATATAAATGACTATAAATGAGATCCATTTATAGCCCTTATTCTTTTTTTCAATCGACCCCAAAATCCTTCAATGGAATTTGTATGAGTCCCTGTGATGGGATCCACAAAATCACTGGAGTGGTTCACTCTGTGATGAATGTATCCCAGGGATGACAATGAATCATAGCCTTTCCACTCGTCGGTATGTACAATTGATCCCGGTTTCACGAGTCGCTTTATAATAGGTACCAGAGTAGTCGCCTTACTGTCTACTATTCCTTCAACAAATCCTTTTCGGAGGGACGTGTCGTATAAACCTATGACCCAAATGTTGCTCGCTCTCTGACGACAGCGGTTATGTTTCTTCTTCACCAACACTGTCTCATCCACATAGACTACTACGTCGTCCCTGCCTAACAACGAAGTAATTCTGTCCATTTTCCATGAAACGATGTCCCTGCAGTGCTGGTATACCATTGAACTGTTGAGACGAGGCTGTTCTCCGTCTCGGCAGCAGCGGCTCTCACGGGCTGTTTCAGTACCCAATAATTGCAAATGTACAAAATCTGGGTTAGGGAGAGATGCGACCTAGCGAAAAATTTTCCTACGTAATATATATATAAATATGAATATATAAATATTGACCTAGTATAGCTTTTTAGAGTCATTACACCACCACACGAACAACTTCTCTCCTTTCGAAGCAAGCCTAAGTCCAGGCAATACTGAAAGACCCTATCCTCCTCGAATTGCAAACGTAACCTCGTATTGGCACGCATTGAAATGAATCAAGCGCTATACAACATTGAACTGCGTTCGTGAATCTCATTGGATAATTCGACGTCGTTCGCTGATTGGTAGTTATTGGTGTCTAAAGTTTAACTTGGCCGACTTTGATAGCCTCGTGACATCAATCTTGTGTTCTGTATCCACAAGATGAGATAGAATAGAGCTACGAGTAGCTGCCACGTGGGATGATGTTCGGAAATCCAACGAGAAACACGCCTAATTGTATGGCCTATGTAAATGGCTCCACAGGAGTGTTTTCACTATGGGCTCATAAGACTGTATGCTCATATCCATTCTTATGATCGTTCGCTTTGGTCGCTATGCCCCTTCCCTAGCTTTGGCTTTTTATTAACACACTGCCTGCCAGCTGAATGAAGACTTGTAAATACTCGGTGCGCCAGTTTAAAAATCAATGAGTCTGACGTGTTATACCTTAATTATGATGCATAGCTGCAGAAAAATGACCATGAAGTAATATTCACCTGACTGCACTTAATCTAGCATTCCACTACCTAAAAGCTGTAGTCTGTTTGGATGATAGAAGTATTCTGAAAGTTTAAATCTGCATGATCTGCTATCACGGATCAGTCTACAGTGGTGAGAAAATAAACGGGACTTCAACTATCCCATCCAATTACTTCCTCTCCCGTAGTTCTGATGATGTGGACAAGATTCTAGCTAATAAATATTTTTTGAGAGAATGCAAGGAGTTCAGGTTGTATTGCTCAACAATTTCCAGCAGAAGCCTTTCGAACACAGTCTCCGTTCATAAAAGTCGCAATATAGTACTTTATGACTGCTTCTCACCCATACATTTTGTTTTACTACGATGATGTTACAATATTCCCTGATGGGTGACTGCTTCTTACGAAAAAACGAGAGCAGCTTCAGTGCTGTTAGATCTACGTACAAGCCGAGTTCTAGTTAAATATGCTCTAGCTGACTTTCTGTTATTTAATAAATGACAATAACACTCTCCACATTCTTCATGTTAACTGGTGAACTTCTCGTGGATAACCACGGCCTAACCATCTGTCCATTTCCACTAAATACACCTGAATAAAATGCCTGCTTCTAACCAAAGATGACAGACCTAAGCCAATCCATTGGTGTGTCCCAAGTACAAACAGATGTTGTCACACTGCTGAATTACATTTATATCCTCTGCTTTATTTAACGCTGAGTTTATTGTACATGATACGCCTACTGATTATTGAATGGTATTGAGAGAGCGCCTTTTTCTATAGTTTAATTTTCTTTAGCTTTGCGATCGTATTTACCTACAGTTTCTTCCACAAAATAGGTTTCTCTATCTCGATCATCAGAACGGGGAAGTGCGAAGGCGGCTGAGGCATGCCATCTTTCGCAGACTGCTCTTCACTTAGTAGATCATTCTGAGGAAAGGACTTCACGGGATAGAATGGGCTATGTTGATGAGGTATTCAATTACTGCACTCTTTTTGTAGCTGCTACTGTAACAACAGAAGACAAGGGCCGGGCAATAGAACGTTTATTACAGAAAATCAACACATATTTATAGATTTTGACGTACATTATTGTAGGTTAATGTCAGTAGAAAATACAGTCTGTTGATTGGTTGTTTCTCACACAAAGTTAACCTTGCATCTCTTGTGGTTGTGTCAGTTCTGTATCCGCCTGTCCATCTTGACCTTGACTTCATTTACTGTCAACCAATTTGGCTAGCAACCATCTCTCACCACAACATGACTAATATTTGATACATAAAAACTGACCTCAATTACTGTCAACCAATTGGCTAGTAGACAGCTCTCACCACACTATTACTATTTGCCGCTATATTGGATGGTGTTTTTGAATATTTTTAAAATAGGATTCAGACTGAACAGCGAATATACCTGACTTCACTGGCTCAGATGAGCTGAGACAGACGGAAGTGATCAGCAGCGTCATCTTGCCTTTCAGGATTCTGCAGCAGACTAATTTTAGCGCTGTTCCAAAAAATGTTTACATCAGTGAAGTCTACGTTCTTCTCTTAAAGATGTCTCAGGTGACTTCATCCTCAAAATTATGATTATGTGAGTTTGTGACGACCAAACACACGAGTTTATGGCAAAAATTACTTATTGGCAACTCAGTGTATAGATATAGGCAACATACGTCTACCACATATTAGAATTACAGTTTGCACATATTTCCGGTATTGCGCCACTTTCATCTTCCGTACTGTGCTTCTTTGACTTCCCCTCATATTTTCCACGTTGTTTCATATGCATTGTTCATTTCCTCTGTCCACTATTCGATATTCTTGTCGTTGGTGTGCATATTCATTTCGTCATTAACATACTACTTACGAAGTATACACCACACTCATGCCCTTCTCATGTAGTTTCGAATGGAGTCGCTCCGCACTTCTCGGTGATCTCCACTTTCATTGTGTGTTGTACTCGCCTTGTTTATCCCACTGTGTTCATCCCTGAAGTTGGGCGGATCGAGTACGTTTCTCTGTCTCTTTCTATGATAGTGTAGGTGGGACCAGGTCTCTCACTGGCAGTGTGCAATCTTTCTTAGTCTGGAAGGAGTTTGCGTGAACCTGGCTGGCA